TTCGGGATCGTTTAGATGAGTGTTTTGGAGGTTTGGCAGATTAAAATGTGATTTACATACGAAAAATCCTTCTTTCTATCATTTTATTTATGTCTAATCTGGAACATGATAACACATGTTGATTTGATATGAATTGGTATATGATAATAATGTAGGTCATATTTTAAATTCTTAAAAATGCTTAAAATGGTAATTTTCCAAATTTGGTCACAATTTTTGGAGATTATGATTTTAACGATCTCCGATTGATATGAAATTTGGTAGGTTTATCAGAAACAGCCCAGTGAACAATACTCACTGCTATTCAGTGAAAAACATTAATTTTAGCGTTTTAAGACTGTTTAGATGGGGTATTGAGCATTTTTTTTAATTATGGAACTTAATCCTCAGAGAAAAGTTCTTGGTTGTGAAAATGGTGATAGAAATATATTTTTATGGTCTTCCACTATTAATTTCAAGTGAGTAATAAATTTACGCGTTGACTTTAGGTCTTCCTCCATATCGGATACATTTATTGTAAGCTCACTAGGTGAAATACTAATAATTGATATCGTGTACTTACTCTCCATCTGAGTATACATGTTGGATCAATGGAACTAGAGCTATTAAAAATGATGTTCACTTGACTTAAATTAACAGTATACTCTCCATCTNTGGTTGCGCGATATTTCTTCGGATTCAACGTGAATTCTAGTCCAGTCCCCTTGGGTTGCAAGGGAGTTCTCTTTCAGTGAATGAGTTTCTCGAGTACACAGTGAATGGTGTGATCTACACCAATAGCTCAGTTCCTATATCACTCGGTTCTCTTTGATACAATGCCTCACCAGTGTTGTTCTCTCTTTCTTCTCTAACTTGTTACACAGCAGGTCTAGTAGAGCTACAATGTTTGTTTGTAGTATAACAAAGAGAGGGTATTTGGTTTGATCAAGGTATATGTGCTAAGGTACAGATACAAGTTTAAATATTTTGAGAGAGGCTAGATTTCTGGAGAGATTTGCCAACCCAAGAGATTTGATCCTTGGAAAGAGATTGATTCTTTCCAAGAATAAGGTTATTCAGCAACGGCTTTGGCTTGACGAGAGGCTTTAATGACATCCCTTATACGTGACTTGATAGCGCCGGATATCCTTCCTCAATTCTTGATCCTTCCAGATTTAGTATACTTGATTGATTATCTTGCAAGATCTTCGATTCTCTTGATTGATTTGATTCCTTCAGTCTAGCCTTGATTGATTCCGTCAGTATCATTGATTTCTCTAATCTTGGATGCCTTCCTTGATTTTCTCTGATGGACTCCGTCAATCCTGTATGCTATTCATGAGTTCCTTGATCTTCTCTGATTGATTCCTTCAATCTTGAATGCTATCCATGAGTTTCTATATAAAGAATAAATATATTATTTTCATCATTAAAATCAGATCTAACAATACATTCATCAGTCTTAAACCTTATGCTTAGAGAAGGACAGAGAAAATCTAGAAGAGAGAATCTTTTGTCTTTCCTTTTGTTTACCCAATAACTTCTTCTTTGAATTTCAAACTAGTTTTCAATACTCATTAGCAGTAGTCACGTCACGCCATACTATTAAAAGAAATAGAAACTAGACAGATAGAAACAAGAAGTATTATTCAATCCAATACTACGCGTTAATTGACGATCATTTATTTGCTGACATGACTAGAAACTACAACAGACGAAAACTTTAGCCAGAGAACTGATCAGTCACAAAGACAATCTTGCAAAGATCATAATAGTGTATGTTTTGCCATCGATGAAGCTTTAAAAACATACATCAAAAGTTAAACTCTCAATTCACATCATAAATTTAATTTATTACTACATCGGTATCATTAGATCCTATAGTGCAACGATGCAGAAGTTCCACCTAGACCTTTTCCGCGGAAGTAATCAACATAGTCTTTCGTAGTGGTTGCGCGATATTTCTTCGGATTCAACGTGAATTCTAGTCCAGTCCCCTTGGGTTGCAAGGGAGTTCTCTTTCAGTGAATGAGTTTCTCGAGTACACAGTGAATGGTGTGATCTACACCAATAGCTCAGTTCCTATATCACTCGGTTCTCTTTGATACAATGCCTCACCAGTGTTGTTCTCTCTTTCTTCTCTAACTTGTTACACAGCAGGTCTAGTAGAGCTACAATGTTTGTTTGTAGTATAACAAAGAGAGGGTATTTGGTTTGATCAAGGTATATGTGCTAAGGTACAGATACAAGTTTAAATATTTTGAGAGAGGCTAGATTTTTTGAGAGATTTGCCAACCCAAGAGATTTGATCCTTGGAAAGAGATTGATTCTTTCCAAGAATAAGGTTATTCAGCAACGGCTTTGGCTTGACGAGAGGCTTTAATGACATCCCTTATACGTGACTTGATAGCGCCGGATATCCTTCCTCAATTCTTGATCCTTCCAGATTTAGTATACTTGATTGATTATCTTGCAAGATCTTCGATTCTCTTGATTGATTTGATTCCTTCAGTCTAGCCTTGATTGATTCCGTCAGTATCATTGATTTCTCTAATCTTTGATGCCTTCCTTGATTTTCTCTGATGGACTCCGTCAATCCTGTATGCTATTCATGATTTCCTTGATCTTCTCTGATTGATTCCTTCAATCTTGAATGCTATCCATGAGTTTCTATACAAAGAATAAATATATTATTTTTATCATTAAAATCAGATCTAACAATACATTCATCGGTCTTAAACCTTATGCTTAGAGAAGGACAGAGAAAATCTAGAAGAGAGAATCTTTTGTCTTTCCTTTTGTTTACCTAATAACTTCTTCTTTGAATTTCAAACTAGTTTTCAATACTCATTAGCAGTAGTCACGTCACGCCATACTATTAAAAGAAATAGAAACTAGACAGATAGAAACAAGAAGGATTATTCAATCCAATACTACGCGTTAATTGACGATCATTTATTTGCTGACATGACTAGAAACTACAACAGACGAAAACTTTAGCCAGAGAACTGATCAGTCACAAAGACAATCTTGCAAAGATCATAATAGTTTATGTTTTGCCATCGATGAAGCTTTAAAAACATACATCAAAAGTTAAACTCTCAATTCACATCATAAATTTAATTTATTACTACATCGCTATCATTAGATCCTATAGTGCAACGATGCAGAAGTTCCACCTAGACCTTTTCCGCGGAAGTAATCAGCATAGTTTTTCGCAGTGGTTGCATGATATTTTGGAGGATTTTCTCCGGACAACAATTCCTTAATTGGTCCATAAAGTTTGAGAGTTGGAATTGAACTAGTATAGAAGAAGCTTGCAACTGAAACTCTTGGACCAACTTTATTTGCCAATACTCTATGCTCAACACTTACGTACTTGTATGAGCTGAAAAAATACCAGAATAAGGACAATTGGTATAAGTACAAAACTAGGTGTTATGTTCATCATAATTGAATAGATATAACATTAGAAAAGAAAATGAATATATAATACTAGCCTGTAGAAGATCTCCAATGTTCACCACAAGAGCACCAGGTGTAGGAGGAACATTAACCCACTGATTTTGGTGAAGGACTTGGAGTGCTCCCATCTCATCTTGCAGAAGCACTGTGATAAAAAATGTCAGAATGTTTGCTGGTGCCTAAGGTGAGTTCTGGCTCAGGGCATGCTGGATAGTAATGGCCCAAAACGCGGACCCCCTCAACACAATCCATATTTATAAGATGAGATGGATCGAGACCAAGACCCTCAGACAATAATTCAAATAAGGATATGCCCAATTTCATGACATGCTTAGAGAACTCCACTAGTATTTCCCTGTGCAGCAATATTCAATAAATTGATGAAACACTACATAGAAGGGGAGCTTTGGTATAACTGGCCGTAAAGTTGTTGCATGTGACCAGGAGAGGGTTCCGTGGAAACAGCCTCTTGTAGAAATCTAGGGTAAGGCTATGTACAATAGACCCTTGTGGTCTGGCCCTTTCGCGAACCCCACTCATTAACGGGAGCTTAGTGAATCGGGCTGCCCTTCGATGAAACACTATATATCAAGAGCTAAAGAAGTTAAATTAGTTTGGGCAATTGGCCTCAGGGCTGAGATATCTAGTTCTCTTATTTTCCTAAAAAAGGATTGTGTTAGTTCGACTTGGCACAAACTTTAATAAAGAATGGAAGATTTTTGAGATTTATGTTCTTAAATAAGCCATAACATTCGTGTGGCTGTAAAACTTTTGAAACTTGTGGTCTGAAACATGCCATAATATTTGTGTGGCGATAAATTCTTCTTATTAAGGAAATATTGAAATATGTCAATCTTTTTTAAACAGATTAATAAGGAAATATTGTCAATCTTTTACATATTTATGTAGTGCAAAAGTAAATGAAGTTGGTCGGTCTTTTTCTAATTCATGTTCAGATCGAACATACCTGCATGCTGCTGGCAATTCCTCTGGACTAGGATAATTTGGAGCCATTAAACAGAAGAATGAGTCTCTCCAATTTGTAGCTGGAATAGACGGACTAAACAAATCATGATTACTAGAATGAACCACCACTTTGTTATTATCTCGAGTATAATATTGTTTCTTAATCTCAATATCTTGCTCAAAGCAACGTCAGCTTCCGTACTAAAACATGATATTATGATCATGTCATTCTTGCCGAGTATGTGAAGATAAGGAAAGTGTAAAACCACTTTCATAAAATATCTATCATAATGCTTTTGGGGAGAGTGACTTACTGATAATTCACAAAACACAATCTTGCAAAGATCACAACAGTGTATGTTTGGCCATCCATGAAGCTTCAGAAACATAACATAAAAAGTTAAACTCTCAATTCACATCATAAATTCAATTTATTACATCGCTATCATTAGGGGCGAAGCCACCATTTTCAAAGGGTGGTCAATGGACCACCTTTTGTTGAAATATTACAAAAAGTTATATTGCATATATAAGTAAAATATTACATTCTATACGTATATAACATATATTGAACACCATTTGTCAGGAAATATTTTTATTTTTTTCAAGTTTGAACACCCTTGGGCAATTTTCTGGCTTCGCCACTGGCTATCATTAGATCCTATAGTGCAACAATGCAGAAGTTCCACCTAGACCTTTTGCGCGAAAGTAATCAACATAGTCTTTCACAGTGGTTGCGCGATATTTTGGAGGATTTTCTTCTGACAACAATTCCTTAATTGGTCCATAAAGTTTGAGAGTTGGAACTGAACCAGTATCGAAGAAGCTTGCAACTGATACTCTTGGACCAACTTTATTTGCCAATACTCTGTGCTCAACACTTAGATACTTGTCATTTGATATGAGCTGAAAAAAAAACACCAGAATAAGGACAATTAGTAAAAGTACCAAACAAAAGGGGAGTGTTGGAATAACAGTAAAGTGGTCTCTGCGTGACCTATCTGTCACGAGTTTGAGCCGTGGAAGCATCCATTAATGCTTGCATTAGGGTAGGTTGTCTACATCACACCCCTTGGGGTGCGGCCTTTCCCCGGACCTTGCGGACGCGGGATGCCTTGTGCATCGGGCTGCTCTTTGTATAAGTACCAAACTAGGTGATATATATGTTCATTATAATTGAGTAGATCTAAGCTTAGAAAAGAAAAAGAATATATAATACTAGCCTGTAGAAGATTTCCAATGTTCACCACAAGAGCACCAGGTGTAGGAGGAACATTAACCCACTGATTTTGGTGAAGGACTTGAAGTCCTCCTATCTCATCTTGCAGAAGCACTGTGATAAAATTATTGTCAGAATGTTTGCTGGTGCCCATTGTGAGTTCTGGCTGAGGGCATGCTGGATAGTAATGGCCTAAAACGCGCAGCCCCTCGGCACAATCCATATTTATGAGATGAGATGGATCGAGACCAAGACCCTCAGACAATAATTCAAATAAGGATATGCCCAATTTCATGACATGTTTAGAGAACTCCATTAGTATTTCCCTGCAGCAATTTTGATGTAACACTACATATCAAGAGCTAAAAGAAGATAAATTAATTTGCGCAATTGGCCTTAGGGGCCAGAGATATCTGGTTCTCTTATTTTCCTAACAACATTCCTCAGTTTCAAAAAGATTGTCTTAAACTTGGCACAAACTTTAATAAAGAATGGAAGACTTTTGAGATTTGGGGTCTTAAATAAGCTATGGCATTTGTGTGGCTGTAAAACTTTTGAAACTTGTAATCTTAAACATGTCATAGCATTTGTGTGGCAATAAATGCTTCTTATTAATGAAATATTGAAAGGTGTCAATCTTTCTGAAATAGACTAATAAGGAAATAGTGTCAATTTTTTTTAAAACAGAGGTAGTACATATTTAGTTAGTTCAAAAGTAAATGAAGTTGGTTGGTCTTTTTCTAATTCATGTTGAGAACAAACCTGCATGCTGCTGGCAATTCCTCAGGACTAGGATAATATGGAGCCATTAAACAGATGAATGAGTCTCTCCAATTTGTAGCTGGAACAGAAGGACTAAACAAATCATGATTGCTATAATGAACCACCACTTTGTTATTATCTCGAGTATAATATTGTTTCTTAATCTCAATATCTTGCTCAAAGAATCGTCGTGTTCCTTGCAACATTTCTTCCAGGACAGGTAATGGTATGCCATGATTGATCACTTGAAAGAAGCCCCATGTCTCCGATGCATCTCGAACTTTATCCACAATCTCTTTATGCTTGATTGGATCCTTATCAAAGCCTTCAAGATCAATCACTGGGAAAATAAACTTCGTCGCGCAACAGCTGTTTAAGGACTCTTGTATTTTTTGTGGTTGAATGAACATTCGAGGAACCTCAGTAATTCCAGCATCGACAAGCCCTTTGACACCAGCCTTAGTATCTTCAAAGGCTTGTAACTCACTCATTCTGTCATAACTTTTGTCAACTGTGGCCTGAAAATCAATTGTGTTGGAGACTGCCATCATTCGTAAAACAAAGAGATTGGTTATATATAAGCTTTAAAAGGCTTTAAAGTTTTAGTGGAATTCTTTCAAAAGTTGAGAGGATATTTCAAAAGGAAGAAAAAGAGGAGCAGAATATATAGTAGTTGGACACGTGCGTTACACCGTATAACCTATTCTCATAGCCAAAACTATGTTGGCTATCAACTGAACACCCTTCGCCGAAAAATTATACTACTTATAAGGTAAAATATTAGTTGTGTATTAATAAAAAAAAAGTGACTTTGAACACCCTTGCATGCCCACCGGTAAAGGGTGTTCAAATTTGAACACCCTTAGTAAATTTTTTGCTATTTGAACACCTTTATTAAATTTCTGCCTTCGACACTGCCTATTCTAACAAGTACAAACGTGTCTTCAGTAGTACTATTCTATGTTTTGAGTTATCATTATGTGTTGTTTAATTTATGTTGTTAAGATTATTTGGATGATAAAATTCAATGCAACAAAGTATTATTCGAACTACTTCAATTTTTTAGTTTTAATATGTACCAAATATTCAACATGACATATTTAATAATTTTTGATATTTCAACAACACACATATTACATTTGATAAAATAGTTAAAAAATTTCCCAAAATTTCATTTCTTGATGAAAGTTAATTTTATAACTTTGGAAAGGTTTGTCACATATGATAGTGGCTTTACGACATATTGTTAAGTATTTTAACTTCAATGTTTTTTTTTTTTAGCATTTTTCAATCTCACTAAAAAGTAATCTTTGAAAAGAGATTGAGAGTGGGGCATCTTATATGTTGTTTAAAATGACACAAATAAATAATCTCAAATTATCATATTATGTAAGCAATATATAACAGAAAACGAAAAAAAATGAAAAGAAAAAGAAAATTCAAGAAAGGAAATGAAAGTTGAAAGGAGAATCCCTTTGAGAAAACTATCCTCTATATCCCCTCAAAATTTTAATAGCCCCTGTTTTTTTTCACTTACACGAAATGACCCTTCGGCCCAAACATATTACATCTAATAGCCCGAAATGTGTATTTTGTATAATTTTTGTATAATGACAGTCTATTTTGTATAGTGACTGTCTATTTAGTATATATTTAAAATAGTGATAGTATTTTTGCATATATTTTGTATAATGACAGTCTAGTATATATATAAATTGTATGGCAGTCTATTTAGTATATTTTTGTATAGTGACAGTCTATTTTGTATATATTTTGTATAGTGACAGACTATTGTATATTAATCGTATAGTGACAGTCTATTTGGTATATATATTGCATAAAATTTATATATAGAGTGTATCGTGCAACTTGCAATGTATCCATAATATATCATTAATATATCCTGAGCGCTTTTGTGTATCCAAAGTGTTTAGACTGTTCTACAATGTATAAATTTAGTATATATAAAGTGTATCGTGCATTTTACTACGTGGTGATGTAGTAAAATGTATATATGAAATTTTTTCTAGAATTTAATATTGTGTTAAAAATTACAATGATGATAGTTATTGACAATTTATATCTATTATATAGTATTTATTTGAATGTACATTTACGTTCTTTGTACATAAAGAGGTATTTGATTTAAAGAGTGAACAACATATTATTGTGCATTAAATAAATAAATAAATCCATCAAACGAAAATTATAACAATAAGGATATATTACTTTGAAGATGACCGACTGCTTTCATTTAGCCAATTAAGAGTCAACAACAACAAAAATTAAAAATAATTTACATAATCTTTTGATAGTCAGAAAAAGTTAGGTACCTAAAATGACATGAAAATTTATTGTTTTTAAAGATTAAATACTATAAGCGGTATTTTTGACAATTTGAAAACCGATTTTGCATATCATTGATGGATGATTGGAACGGCTCGATGGCAACAAAATCTATCGCATTTGAGCAAATTTAAGCTAGCCATTATAATTTGTTTAGGGCTTTAAATTGTATGGATCAATTCATGGCTAGCGGATGATAATAGTTTCCACCAATCGGCTTCAATTGAAATTTGCTCATTCTTATATATATATATATATATATATATGAATGCACATCTCTCTCCCACACACATAATCTCGCTATCTCTTTTTTCTTTTCTTTTTTTTCTAGAGTGAGTTTTTCATGTGATGTTTTACTTTTGAAAAATATTCTGTTTTTGAAAATTTACCAATTTTTTGGGTTTTGTTGTACACTACTCTATTTTTTATAATTGAAAGCTTTTTCGATTTGGTTAGAAAATTAAATAGTTCTGTATTTCATGTTCTTTGGGGTTGAAGATATATTTTTCATTTCTAAAAATGAGATTCTTAGAAGGAAAAAAAAGCATTTGAAATATCTGGCGTCCGATTTCGAATACGGCTGATGGGTCATTTTGTTTCATCAGTTGACTATTGTAATTAATTAATTTCTGGCTAGTGGCTGTTAAAAGTTTGGCCCGAGCGGCCAACAATGATAAAAGCTCAATCCTTTCTCGTCACCAACTAACAAAAGAATAAAAGCTAAAGATTAGATATGTGACAACTGACAACTACTCATGTTTAACATTACGGGCGTGCATTCGATTTTTCGGTTCGATTTTATATTTTTCAATTTCAGTTTCGGAAAGGTGCACCTCAATATATATATATATATATATGGAGGTGTGGGAGTTACAACTATAATTGTGAGAAGTAGTGGGATCTACATAATGGAGAAGAGTATAATGGAGAAGAGTAGTGGGAGTAGCTTCTTTAGGAGTTATAGGCATCCACTAATATAATTATAATATTTCATAACAATATGAGATATATCATATATTATTAAGGTATCATAGAGGACTGATTCATTTCTTCAAAAAAAAAAAAAAAGTTTAAGGTTAAATTTAATATTAATTGTTGTAACGTTTTACTTGTGAAAAAAATAAAATAAAATAAAAAGATTGTATTTTAGATACAAATTTTATTTTTATTTACAAAAGAAAAAGAAAATTTATAAAAGCATATTTTCTGTTAAATTTAGGTTTTAATAAATAAGCTAGTAATTTTAGTGTTACTTCTTGTTGTAGTGTAATTATTTATTTTTATATTTTATTAGTCTAAAAATAGAGTTAAACCAAAATCTGTGCAGAATGTAATTGCTACAGCAAATGCAACTACAGTTCCAATATGATACCAAAAAGATATAAAGGTATACCAACTAGGTACATGGTTTGTACTATGTTATTCTCGCAACTACATATGATAATATTTAAATTGTAATTGCAGCAAAAAAGACTCTCACTACAATATGATACCAAAATGGTACATATGTATATCAAATATAACTGATTATAAGAACTCACTTTTATGAAAAATAGTGTCTTTAAAATATACAAAAATAGGGAAAAAATTAACTAGAAACTACTCTAAAAAATTCTAGAAGAGAACTCAAACAAAGTCTTACACGTGAACTGAAGGCGGTGTTCAAATATAGGAAGATTGTCCAATTACATCATTAAAAAGAGGGAAACAATAAAAAATAGCTTGATTGACAACTGAAAATTGGAAAATAGCCACAATTTCAAAAGTAATTAAAATTTAGCTATTTTTTCATGTGAAGATAGAATCTGAACAAAATTACCTTTAAAAATTTAAAAATATTCCAACATAATATGCTGGAGTTCGAACTTTTTACATATGAGCTTCCAACATAATATGCTAAAAATTTTATAATATGCTGGAGTTCCTGCGGGAAGTTTATATGCGCCTTCAGACAATTAACGACGGGGAGTGAGATTTGGTGGGCCAGGTAATTACTTTTAGCCGCTTAGGCAAAAACATAACTAATAGGTTTGGGCTTGAGTAGATACGGTACTTAGTTTAGGCTTTTTGGGCAGAATGTATAGTTTATCCTGTAAAAATTGCACCGGGCGCATTATTTGGTCGCCCCATATGACATATGCCTATTTTTTTAAATTTTTTTAACTTGTACTCACTTTTTGAACAACATCTGGTCTATTTCGCCTCCTCCTTTGTTTTCTAAATTCTGAAGCTTGAGATATTGTTATGCGTTCTAGCATGATGATTCATACATATCTGCTTGTCCCATTATGTTCAGTTTGGTCTTATTCACAATAATTTAACCTCTTAGTTATTTTAGCTTTACAGGCACATTGGTGAGAAGTAGTTTGAAGCTAAGAAATTGAGAAGATACAAATGTGCTTATGAACATCCTTGAGTTAGATCTAGGCTCAGGTATCTGGTTTTGGTTCTAATTTATCTATAGTAACTTGTTTTCATGTCGAAAATATTTTTCATTCTTTAATCTTTGAAATGAAGCATCAATCGCTGCTAATCATGATCTATTCTGGAGAAAGATTATCTTCCTCATTTCCGTGTGCAGACTTAGAACTTCAGCTCTAAGAATGCTGAAGTTCAGCAAATATAAACAAAAACTTCATCTCCTAGAATGCTGAAGTTCAGCGAATACAAAACAAACTTCAGCCCTAGAATGCTGAAGCTCAGCAATTACAAAACAAACTTCAACTCCTAGAATGCTGAAGTTCAGCAATTACAAAACAAAATCCAGCTCCTAGAATGCTAAAGTTCAGCAATTACAAAACAAAAACTTCAGCCAAAACATGTCGTAGTTTTATTGAACTGAAGTTTGCCATTGCACTATGAACTGAAGTTTGAGTGATTGCCTTTGCAAGTCAAGCCAAACTTCAGGCAAAAATATCTGAAGTTTTGCTTTGATAAGGCTACACTTTAGGCAAAACATTCTGAAGTTCAAACTTCAGACATAAATTTTTGCTACTTCAGGCCCGAATGTCTGAAGTTACCCGAAAAATGGGTACACTTGCGATTTTTTTTGCAAAGCAGGTATAAGTTAAAAGTTGAACCAAAAACTGAGAATAGATCAATTTGCCCCTCACGTTGGGTAAAGCAAATTAAATGGAAAAGGGGAAGTGGATATACGAGTAATAAATTTAGACCGCCTAGGTAGGAATTATAATTAATTTCCTAATAGGCAAATCCGAGAAAATCTTTTGAGCATGATAGGCATTTAGTGTTATTTCCT